CCAAGGTTCTGACCCTACTGAGCTGACCCATGGGCTAGTCGAAGCTAATGGCTCAAGTGCTGTCCGGATAGAGTGTCCTCTATATTCTGTCATAACCTGTAATGTTCGTCATTCTGTTCGTATGAAGCATTTAGTGCAGAGACAATCACACCAGGTACGTTGATCGATTGAATCAAGATGACGGGAAGACTTTGCGCATTTATCAGTCTTGATCGTGAGGGGAATTTGTCCCCTCAGAAAGGGTAATTTTCGGGGAACAACTTTGGCTAATCCCGGTTAGAACTGGCCTTCGTATCGTGCAAACAGTGAACAGAACTCAAGCAGCAGGTACATCTGTGAATTAAGACCCTGGAATAATTCCTGATCATCTCATGAACTAGCATCTCTTCTCGGTGTGCTCGCCTTTTCATCTCCAAGCAAAACCAACCGCACTAAGAACCTTCAACAATCAATCCGTCAGGGTGGTCAAGCTCTTCTGTCAGATGCTGTCGATCCTTTCGATGCAAAAGGGAGAATTCTCACATTGTCCCCGTTCTGCCGAATTCACACTGTCTTTTTGCTGGCAGAGCCACGTAGGGCGAGACGAGACAATTGCGTGTTTTGAAGTAGCAGAGGATTGCAACGAAAGTGACGGTACAGTAGGAGTATGTACCCGTCACTTTTGTTGCACTCCCCTGATACTGCAAAACACAATCTCGCCCTGCGTGGCTCTGCCTGCAAAAATACTAAAGCGACCACGAAAGACACTGTACCGCAAAGTGGAAGTACTGCAACGAGATTGGAGGCAGTGATGCGCTGCTATGACAGAGGTAAAACAAGCGAGATGTTGAACGTCCTCGTTCACGTTCATATCATCCTTCAATGTCAAACATTGACGAGAGGTTTACAGTTTTACACATTTTTGAGCACTGTGCACTGGATGTTCACTTTGAAAGCTGAAGTACGGAACATGTGGAGCACCCAAGACCTTCGCCAAACCTCTTTTTGGGAGCTTGGAGTTGCTAGATCTGAAACATAAGACTTGTGATCGTACCTCACCTACAGGACTTCTGTGCACAGCAAAACCGTGTTTCCGGATGGAAGATGAAGCGACTTCTCTCGGTCTTTGTGTTAAGAATCTCAACAGAGGCAGTCCCACAGAAAAACTGCGAACGAGCCAATGACTACTCACAGCATTCTTCTGAGACGATGGAACGTCTGTACCATAGCACAAACGCTGTGGGAGTCGTTCAGCGTCTTCGATGTTCCCGGCCCGGCTTTGGCCGAAGTATGCTCTTTTCTGTTCATAGTTTCAGTGAATTTGGTTTCATTTCACAGGATTCCAGCTCAGGGATATGTCTTCGCCATCACCTTGTCGTGGGGACAGATGGCAATTCCAGTCCAAGGCCGTATACTTCACTTTTCCCAGATCAGTCCCACGTCCACCTTCAGTAAATAGGGCCTCCTTCCGCTCAATCAGCTTGCTTTCTTATGTTTTGTCCCCATGCAAGTCTCGAGGGGAATGCAATGATGCATACACTTCACCTTTTGTTATTCAAGTTGTACTCACCCATGAACCTTCGACTATAAAAGAAAGAATAAAAGACATATCTCAAGTTAGGAGATGACAAGTTATCGGTTCGGCTGATTCTCGTGTGATATTGGGCCGATATCCTGCATTCCCAATCCAGGAAGGAGCATCATTGAAACTGAATCTCATATCGTGGACAAGGGTCCCACGAGGAGATACAGTGCTGTGGACTTCACGTAAGTCCACATGTAGACGTGAGCACTGCACATTCTCCAATGCTGGATGATTAAAATGGCAATTTCCTCGAGTCCGACCACATATTCTTGCAACTTGAGCCTGAGGTTCCTCCTCCTCCGCTTGGCAGACAGACATTCCTCCTCATACGCTGCATCTGCTTGTCCAGAACACGTTGTTGTTCAACTGTGGACGTAAAATCCCACTGTCTCGAGTCCTTCGAGAATCTGAGAATGTAAAGAACATTTGCCTCGTGAAGGTTGGCAATGTTACCCTCGTGTTGCAGAAAATCAAACTGAACTCCTTCGCACATTTCTGAATTTGAGGAATAGAAGTCACCGCAGTTACTTGATGGATTGACGAGAAAAGTCCCATCTTTTGCATGGACTGAAATATCTTCCTTATTTGCACGTGACCCCAAATCGTAAACTATAGAGTAAGCAACATAACTATCTCGATTGCGTTTTACTGCAACTGAAATATTTATAAACAAATGATTGCAAGCCTCGACAAAAATTCTTTCCCCAATTTTAATAGATCCGAAGTATAGTACAATATTGCCTTTGATATATTCTCTCCCGATAACTTTGAAGCGGGATACATTATAAGAGAATGGAGTAACCCACTTTATTCTTTTAAGGTGGTTATGTTTATTTCTCCTAAGTTCTTAGTTATGGACTTGACGAACACATGATAGAAAATTTAACTATTTTGTAAGGAAAACAGTCAGGATGGGAAGGCAAAACAGAGGGAAAATTGCTTCTATCTTAGTGAGAAATTGAGTGATAATGCGCACTTTGAAGCATAAGTTAGATAAATAAAGAATAATTTATCTAACTTATGCTCCATGTCGTGAAGATTCTTGTGGTTGAAGTATTCACTGTATACTCAACGCAAAGCACGAAGAGAACAATGGTTGCCTTCGCAACTTCTCCTTACTCTTGTTAACCATTGAGTTATTCGTTTGTGGAAAGAGGTGATCATGTTATTTGATCATGATTTAATTTAGATATTTTAGATCTTTCATGAAACATTTTTCACTAAATATTATAAGGACCTAGTCACTACTTTTTTTTATTCTAGTTCTGTTCTTTGTACAACTTGATGAATTGTTTCTATTGTTCGCTGTCCATGTTAGTTTCTTCTTTGTAGAACTGAAAGGCTTCTTTCCATTGTTTGTGCTATATACGTAGATTTCTCTTTGTAATATTTGATGAACTCTTCCCATCGTTTTTGCTACCATTTAGCCCCATGATGGTGTCTTCGCTTGATGACAACTTGATAGTTTAGAAGATTCAGCTGATGTTTGGCATACTTTTGGTCATCATATATCAATCGGATTCTGATCCGTAGTTTTTATGGTTTTTTTTCATCTTTCCATGACTTGATGTCTTTTCCATATGAGTGAAGTTTGGTCATAAGCTCTAAATAGGATTGCATGATATTCTTAATATTGATAGGTTGTATTGAGTTGGGATTTGAATTGATTGGCAGTGGAAAAAGAGAGTTGTTACTTACAAATGGATAGGAATATAATTCTACAGTGTTAAATACTTCTTGAAGTGAATTGAAGTCATTCCCACATTCAGTCGTGTGAACCGGCCCTAGACTTTAGCAAACATAGTGCAATAAAATATATAATAATTACAACAATCGTTGGATGTCGAGAACTTTGGGACCACACGCATCTCCTATATTGCAACGAAAATAACACCCGTAACCGCCTCTTCCCTCTACTAGTATATATATATATGTATGAAGATAGGTGGGAAGAATATAACGAGGCGAGATAAAACTTGTAATTCAAATCAATCTTTTCAAGTCATTATATCACTCCCTACGCTTCTATATTAAAATATTGGGCTGAGGGTCTTTTATGGTTTCTAGTGCAATAAGTAAGATAAAGATCAACTCAAAATTTGGGCTGTGCCAAAGTAGCAATAGTAAAACTGCCATTAAGAAAATTTAAAATTTATGATAAGGATCTATACGAGTTCATTGCAAACTGTGCTACGGGCTAGTATAACTTTGTGCCATTCTATTTATATTGTCGAACTGGCAACATTTTAACATAGACCCATATGTAAGGTGGCGCAACTCTAAGGAATATTAATAACAAAAATACACATGCCTTACATGTAAAAGCTTTCTGTCTCGCCTTAAACTTCTGCCTGCCTGTATGAAAGCGCCATCTGTATACACAGCAAGGTGGGTTAAGGGCAGAAATATGGATGATATACAGAAATTGTCAATATACAACATTTAAGAATGATATGCAGAAACTGCTTCAATGTATGTGGACGCCCAAATAGTATAATCATAAAGCTGGCAGTATTTCATCATAGTAAACAGGGGATCGTGAACATTACTAAATAGAGTGTGAATTATACAGTACATGCAATCCATGAATTGTATTATATGCCTATCAGGAAACGTCATTTTGTAACATTTGACACTGTTTCCTGACAACCCTTGGGCAGTCCAATATTCCTGAGCTTCAGGCAGCAATTTACGTCGAGAGGAAAATCAGGTGATCGCAGATTCTTAACTTTATGTGTGTGAAATATATAAGGCAGAGACGCTTTGCTCCTCTGCCTCAGAAGGTCTTGATTTCTCACCAAAGAATTGAAACTGAATGAGAGATAGAGTTTCATGAGATTCGGTAAAATCAGTAGGAAACCAAATTCAGAATTTCAGTTCTTTGGGGTTTTCCTTCAAGCAACTGATGTTCCTCGTGGCAAGTAGTTCTTCAACTTGCTACAAGGGAAAAGTTCTCGCGTGCTTGTGGCCAAATGCATAACTATCACTGAAATAAGAACCATAGACAGCTGATAATGACCACCTTCAAAGTTGCTCAACACCAACTTGAAGTTGGCAACTTGTCAACATAATGTGGAAAACCACAACAGCAAGGAGGCAGTGATAATGATTCCTTTCCTGATTTGCATTCATTCGTATGCATGAGGACATCGAACGTCGGAATACGAACAGGAGGGTACAGAGCAAGAGCTGAAGCATGTATCTCATTTTTTCGACAGACAGCTCACTGGGGCTGGGTGATTGGTGATGTGTACACTGGAGATTCTCAGCAATAGTTGACTCATTTCTTTGCGACATCAATTGCTGACTCACCCGGTTAATGATTTGAAGACAATGCTTGACGGATTGGCAGAATTGTTTTCAACTTTGGACCCCAATCAAGCACAAGTTGTGCACGAGAAGATACCTGAGATGCTGATTCCCAGACTTCTTGTGGGTCCGAGGCAGTTTGTAATTCCATAAACGATTGTGTGTACGGTTTTCCGAAATTCAACTCCACATGAAAGCCAGAGGTAAATGTAGAAGAATCACGAATGACTGATTCGTCCGGCCATAATCTACAGGGTCCACGAAGAGGAGGAACCCAGCAAAGGAGAAAGGAGTATGCAAATTAGAATTTTAATCCTGAACAAGGAGCGTGATGTTCTTTATTGCTTCAAGCAGTATTTTGGAAGCCCAGCCATTCTAGTTACATCACTCGGGAGGAGTGAATCTGCCCTCGATCTACTCTGGATGCTATCACGATAACGAGTGTCTCTTCAGTCTATACATCTGCTTTGATTTTCTTGTCTATGTTATCTTCACACATGCCCTGAGTCCACCGTCAACCTACGACGTGCACAGCATTCCGATAGAGTCCTTCTTCAATTAGGGAATCGTCTTGGTTCTGGATCATGGTTTTCCAACCCTCCTACTAGCTTTTGATTTCTCCTTAGCTATCGCAGGTCTTCGGACATTCGGGGTGCAGTCTCACTTGGTCGATGAAAGAAGTCTCGATAAGTAAAGGCCACTGAAAGATGCCCATTTAGCCCGGTCGAATTTTATATATACGGCTCGACAAATATTCTTTTCCCTATGCTCGAAGCTGCTGGCTGCTTCCGAGCTATGGTCCCAGTAAATGCAGCCTCTCAGCAGAAAGAGAGAGAGAGAGAGTGGATGAAGAACAACTAAGCGTTTTTGCGTCCACAGAGGTCCAAACGGATCGAAATGCAGAGAAGTGACGAGAAGAAGAGACGAGAAAGAGTGAGGCAGACATATTTACAAAGCTGATCTTGTTGATGATTTGTCGGATATCGGATTCAACCGATAATTCGGTTGACGGGTTGAAATCCGACAGGCTTGACGATGGAAGGAAAGGTGGAGCAGATTCTCCAGCCCTCCCCAGGCAATATAACATCGAGCATCTGAAAAGGTTGTTGATCACAGATAGTGATTGCACGTCCTTGACATCAAGTCGGAGTTGTGATACCATAGTGCACCCTTTCGAGATGTGATCCGATCCGGGAATGCTTTTTTAATCAATCAGCGCGCGCCGTGGTCGAGCAGTCTGCGACTGACAGAACCCTGACGCCCTGAAGGTTTCCGATTGCCAGGCCTCATCGTGCTTTTCACACCAACCGAAGCTGCTGCTGCTACTCCTGCTGGCTCTCCTGGAGTTCGATCGGCTTGTGGAAGGCCACCGCGGCGAGCCAAATGGCGAGAGATATGAAGCAGAGCTTGATCGTGTCGTTCAATGGATTTCCAATAATGTCGAGTAAAGCTGGTGCTAATAATAAACTCGGCATCCCCCACTTCATCACTCAGCATTCCTCCACTCGCTGGAATCAGAAGAACGCATACTACTAGAAAAAACTTCACAACAAGATCCCCCTTCATCATAAGAAACAGTCGAATGTGATGGGGCTTTTTTTGAAGGTGAATACCAGATGTACAGGAGTATAGTAGATGAAAATGAGATGAAACCAGAGATCTGGAGTCAGCAGAACTGGGCCAAACAACTCCTGCGTCCGAGCTGAGACATTCGACCCACTCCTGACGAGTTCCTCTCTCTCGAGCTGCCTCCTCGAAGATTGGATTCCAAATCCTTGCTTTGCAAAACCTCGGCTCTGCATCCTGGATTTATCCATGTGCAGGGCAGCTGGTTAGCTGGTAGATGAGCCGTAACTGCTGCAACTGCATCCATCCTGTCCCGTCTAGATCTCCACAGCGTTGCTTGGGCATGTTGGCATGCAGGTAGAGCCAAGTAACTGCGCAAGTTAAGGTCCCAGTCATCTATCAGATAGCTGGGCGTTTTTCTCATGGATTCACGAAGAGGATGACTAGCTGACCTGGCGGGATAGCACCGATGGAGATACGGACCTCAGTGGGTTATTGAAGCCTGCATCGGAATCGAGAAGTTGAAAGTTCTGCTGATTCGGAACGTAGAGTTTCCTCGATGTGAAGAACGTTTCAGGCCGACGCAATAAATCTGTCGAATCAAATCCCACGTTCTGAAAGCATGACCTGCCAGGTTTATCATCGAAATTGTTTAGCAGCGTCATGTGTTTTCTCCAGGTCCAGCAACAAGAATATTGTCAGAGCGCAAGACATGAACTTCAGCATGCTTTGCGCAGAAGAAAACATTATGTTTATAGCAAACGAATAGACTACACTATCAACAAGACCAGGGCCTGGCAGATGAACTGCCAGGAAAAGAACGTGATCCAGTTCTTCTCGAGAGCACATATTTTAATTTTTTAAGAAACGATCACGCGAAGCTGGACTAAAGTAATGTACTCTGGACTTATTTCGCAGAATCGATTGATGGTGATGAAGTCTTGCAGTCTTGCATTTATCTGCAGTTTGGGAGGATTCATCGAACCGGATTAGTCCTGGATTGTAGATGGGAACTTTTGAGTTCCATGAAGTTGATTCATCATCTTCAAGCCAACAAATGATCTCCGATCGTAGGCCCAATATTACAGAGAGGGTTTCTGGTCATAGCGAAGTTCTTGAAGTTGATGAAAATAGAAACCCCTCCCATTCTACATGGACTGGGATGTCTCATCATCTGTCACGAACACCAAGTTTGAATGGTATCATGGAAGGGGACTGTGTTCAGCTTGATAGTGTCTAATGTGCGATTATGTCTATCGATATAGCTCGTCAAACGTATTGTAAAAGGAGCTTAATAAATTCATGACCTTAGAAAACATGGGTGTGTCACATTCTACGCAGATAGCCCAGGATAGATATCGATTGTTCAAATCGAGAAACGTTTTAAATCACTCGGTACGCCGATGATTGCTTTCAGGTGGCTCAGATACACTTACTGGTTCTTTAGAGGTTCGTCGGCAGACATGATGGTGATTCTCGTTCGAAACCGATAAAGATCTTCCTCCGACATTAGCTTTACCTCCGCAATGACCCTGGAATTTTTTTTCTATCATCTTCTTGTATGCCTTCAAGATATCCAGAAGAAAATTCTGTAGAAAATCTTTCCCAAGGTATAGCAGTTCTAGATTTTCTGCCTAAAACAGAAATTCACCTCTGACAAACTAGTCTCCGTACCGCTTCCTCCATCGGCATCTATCTTCACATCTCTTATCGTGCTCCATGTATCAGTCTTCACACGAATGTTTCGTCAATCTTTCACAAAATTTCTTTAAAAATGCGCATCTTACCTCCTTGTGCTTTATGCATCTCTGAGATTGTACAGATCCTGGAGTTTGATGAATTAGTACCGCTCCACGGTCTCTTTCCCAAAGAGGGTTTGTATCCTTGTATCACCGACAAAGTTCGATTATTTATCTTGGAGGTGAGCAATCTTGATAGTATATGCTCTCTACTTATTTAATTGAAAGTTTATCCTTGATTGCGACCAGACGCCCAGACCCAAATCCAGAATCTTTTCGTTCCTTGGATGCAGTTTCCACCGCATTGTAGATATTTAAGTCTCGCAATCACTAGAATAGACCTTTATGGTATGCTTCTCTACTCCTTCCGTGACATCATTCTGCTTACAGGGTACACTTCTGTAATATTCACCGAATTCCCTGATTACAATACAGCGTGCCGCCTTGGTGCAAATATACTGGTCTTGGTGATGGTCTGGGTTTCTCTCTCATCGTAATGCAGTTCTTCATACAAGGTCCTATCTTTCATAACTCACCTGATGCTTCATTTGATGGTTGAGTGATTTCCTTTTCGTCAGATTCACCTGTTTCCAAAGAACTTTCAATTTACGACGCACCCATGCATCTAATATCTGAAAGAATATAGTTCCGAAAGTGCATCACATTGCGGAACCCCGATTGGCAATTTGCTGGAAATCCGAGACTGAAGACATTTTATCTGACATCTAGCATCCGGTTGAATTCCTTGTTACAGGACATATCTGAACTAATGCCCGTCTGATCTACTGATGCGAAAACGAACTCATACCGGTATGTAACCCAAGTTCACGACGAGACACACCATGGGCAGCTTGATTATTGTTGGACATTATTCTCTCTGCTTTAGTTCAGTGCTATAGTTAGACTAGTTATGAAGCTTGTTTGTGCAGTTCGTGACTCTTCGTATTAGTAATAGGAGAGGAGTTGGTATCGATAACCTACTGTATATGTATCTAAGCATCTCGAAAGTTTTTAGGTGGGTAAAATAGGCGATGTAATGATGCTACGAACTGCAACTATTAGTTACTCCCCTCGAATCACTAGAATTGGTGATGCTACTGGATCTTAGTTTGGAAATGATCTCAGTATTCCTAAATCATACCACTTTGAATGAATTACCAACTATCCCGTATGGTACTTTAGAATTCAACATGGACTCATGAGTTCTGGCCTCTTTGACTATTGCATTCTACCACCTTCCGTTCCTCCTAGTGTAAAGGAGAGTGCAGCTTAGGCAGCTGGTTATAGACTCATGGTTATTTTGATCAACAATGCAAAAAATTCAGGGATGAAATATTTAAAGAGTTACACTGTTCGTCATGCTTGTTGGTCATATCTAAAGCATAGATAAGAGTCTCAAAGTGATCCATGTCACACTCATCTCGTTGATAAGTTTTTGCTCGAAGAAAATTTGAAACATAAACAATGGATATTCGAAGAGGTCAATAATGTTAATGAGCTTCTAGAAGAAGGTAATGTAGTTTTTCCTGACGACGTTGTAGTTTATTACACACTGAAAAACCTTCTGAAATACTACGACATTGTACGTTGCATGTTGATGGGAAATACAATAATATCATTGTTTGATGAGATGTAATCCACTTTGCTCAATGAAGAAATTGCAATAGGACTAGTCAATGAAGATCGGACTAGCAAGGCTCTTGTGGTTCATCGAGTAGAATCTTGTTTTCTAATGTACCGAAAAATAAAGCTAGCTTTATGGGTTATTCAAACAGCATTGGTAGAGGCAGTTTTTCAATACGTAATTATCACTCTCGCTTCACATCTAGAGCTCAAGATTGCTCCAAACACTTGCAACCTAGCGGCAACCTAGATGCAGCCATGGAAGCAAAATACTCATCAATTCTTGTAATAACCCACTAAAGGCTAAAACTGCAATATAGTGGTAGAAAGGTCAAACGCACAAGGACAGAGGAACACACAGGGTATAAAGTGTCACATTTAACAGACTATTGAGGAGTTTGAATTCTCCGGCGACTGTCACTCCCAGAAATACTGCAAGTGTTCACTCGGAGCTTGCTCGGAGGTCGCACAGTGCATAGTAGTTCACTCAACACACACACTTGAAACTACAGAAACACAACCCAGAGATTGGTTAGGACCTCTACTCAAGATTTCAGGGGGAAAGTCTCTCGCGAGTACTCAGCGAAGCTGCGGGTAGTGACTCCCAACTCCGGCTTTTACAACCCTTCCACTAGCTTTCTGCTAGCGTAGGGAACCCGGGTTGGACTTCCTACTTCGGATCAAAGTCACTCACACGCGGTGAACAACACTCTCAACTCACAAAACGCGTAGAGAACACAGGTCCGCACGAAAGGACTCACTGAGAAACGTTATAGTAACACACCATAACAGTCTATTGAAGAGTTTGAATTCTTAGGCACTTGTCATTCCCAGAAATACTACAAGGGTTACCCTGAAGGCACCTGCTGCAGCGTAACCTGAATTTACAACCAAGGCTTACACGAAGTAGCAAAACTTCACTTTGGCATTCAGGGGAAAAATCCCGAAGGAGTACAATCAGGAACAAACACTCGAAGGTGTAGGGGCGAAACTATTCAAGTATCTAACTAGTCACTGGCTCTGAGCATCGGCAATCACCCGCAGGTGCAGATCCGAACTACTCAAGTCTCTAACCAATGTACTAGCTCTGAACATTCGGCCGAAGGCCTTCAACTACACAATGCGGATCGCCAAGGTGTAGCGCCTCTTGCGTGGTGACAGAACTAAGGACACAAAACACGCAGAGAAAATGAGTTCCTGATCTGCACTTCCAAAACTGGAAGAATCCCGAGGCAAGACGCCTTGAACTACTTTATACCTTCTAAGTCCTAACTAACACTACACTGCACTATGCTACACGCCTGCACGGAACCACGCTACACTACACTCCGCAGAACCTGTGCTTCGCCTCCTGCGCGACGGACTGCCGCGCACTAACTCCCTACCCTGCCAGTCCTCAGCTCGACTGCGAAGTCCCAAACGCTGCAACACCGCGGAAACCTCCGTCTCAGGGGTGGCCATGGTGTCCCGTGACTTCGACAGAAAAGAGTCTAACTTCTTCGCCACTCGCCGCCGACTCCGACTGTCACCTGTCAACAACCTGGCTCCACGAAGCTCTAACTCACGCAGTGTGAGTTTCTCCTGTGCCGCCACTTCCCAGTGGGCGTAGCCCCTGAGACAGTGGGTGACTCGCCTCGCCATCTCTTCCTTCGTGCGATCTGCCTCCCGCCGGCGATCGTCTTCAACTACAACCAACTGCAATTCGGCCTCCGCACGCTGTGCTCTCAATTCCCCGCACTCGGACTGCAGTCTGCGGATTAATTCCTCATCCGCCTGTCGTGCGAGCTGACACTGCTCTAACAACCGCGTCTGTCGCACGAGCTCCCCTAACAACATTCGATTCTGAGCCTGCTCAAAATCCAGCTCCTCTGTGAGCTTCGCCTTCTCCTTGGCAAACTCTTCTAGCTTCTCGTCCTTCACCTTGTCGAAGTGCTTGTACGACTTCTTATTGAGGTTGAGCTGACCCCACAGGCACTCATGCTTCTCCCGCAGAGCCTTAAGTTCCTGGTCCACACGGGCCAGCAACTTGCTGGTGTGGACTTTAGTGCGAGTTCGCCTACGCACTAACTCGACGTAGGACCCAGGCTGGCGAGGGTCCGCGTACTTCTCCATCTTACGATCCAAGTACCTCAGCAGAGGTACTACTTGCTCACAGAGCGCCGCCGTCGGCGCGCCTACCATTTCCTCCTCCTCCTCTTTTGTGGATCCCGATCCCGACACTGATTCCGTGGATCCTCCTTCTTCGTCATCCTCCGAATTGAGGATTCGGTCGCCATTGAATGCGTCGGCGACTGGCCTGTGCGGGGCTGCGAGATGTCTGCGTGCTCTGCCGCCGCTGGCGCTCCTACAGCCTCGCTGCTTCCTGCTAAAATGTCTAAGGCGGTGGGTGAATGTGGCCGTTCCAAATTCGTATCGTCCGCTTATGCCTGTCCCGCCGCAACTGTAACCTCCTCGCCGCCGACGTCTACCGCCGAAGGCGATCGTGCGGAATGTACCTGCGCGGAGTGTAATTGTGCATCGCGCGCACGGATTTCACCCTGCGGACAGTCCATCCGCTCCACCGATCGGTCCTTCTCAAGGGATGCGTCCGGCCTACGCGTAGGCGCAATTCCCGGCGCTTCTTCCGCCGAGGGCGGTTGAGCCGAAGACGGCCCGCCCGATGTCCCTTGGTCCGAAGGCCCTTCCGCCGAAGGCGCAACTTCCGGCGGATTTTCTGCCGAAGGCGCGGCTCCCGCCGGCTCTGTGTTTGTAACTCGATGGCCCGAAGGCGCATATACCGGCGATCTCACCGCCGGAGGGCCTTGTCCCGAAGACCCTTGAGCCGAAGGCGGGTCTTCCGTCGGCTCCTTCCCCTTCCTGCGTTGCACCGGGGGTGAGTCCTGCCTATGCGTAGGCACCCGCCTATGCATAGGCGAACTTTCTCTGCCTATGCGTAGGCACAAGTCCACGTCCGCAAGGGGTCGCCTATCCTCAGGGAGTCGCCTATGCGTAGGTGGCACACTCATCCGCGCCGCACGTGGTAACTCCTGACCCGAAGGTTGTCTCTCCTCCGCCGAAGGCGTAGGGTGGTCTACTGACCCTTCGGCCGTCCGCGCAGTCCCATCCTTCTCCGGGGATGGACATCCCTTCTCTGTGGCAATCGTCGCCGTTTCCGCGCTGTTGGCCGGTAACAAAAGCCTGCGCGCCTTCTGCTTCGGCCGGCTGCAGATCTTGTGTAGTGGCCGCTTCC